TTCCTCAACAATCAGAATAAAAAATAAAACCTAATAATTGTGAACCGTGCAGTTTCTGTGAGCAAAACTGAAGGCTATGAAGCATTTGCGCGACCCTAAATTGTTTAAATGTGGTCAACCAAATTGCAAATTGGTACAAAAACACAATTCTGTAGACCGAAGATGAATATTTAATTCTACATTTCAGTCTTGTTTGTTTGAGTAGATAGATATAAAAGAGATAGTGGAATAATTGATATAATCGCAGAAGAAACCTTTGAAATATTTTGAAAGAAACAGGTACACATACACAGAAGGGCAATTATCTTAATACACTAGACAATCTTTTTTCAATAGAACATCTACGAATTAAACCAGTGTAACTTAATGAATATAAAATATTGGAATTATTCAAATTTACATAGATTTTTCGAAAAACTTCCAATAATTTTTTATCTAATAAATTCACAAAATCCGTATATGAATGTTTTCACGTTGATTTGTCCACTTGCGATATTCAAGACATTATATCAATGAAATCTTATTGCTGTTCACTGCGTCCAATTACAAATACCCATAGTTTAGAAAGTCGAATTCTATGGCAGCATCAGAAACCTGTATTCAATTCAAAAACCACTCCAGCCATGAACATCCAATTTCCGGTGTTGAATTACTAAAATATACAAGAATATCACAATTATAGCCAATAAAATCAACACTAGTTTCAAATAATGGAATAGGTATAAAATTGAAAAAAATAATAACAAAAATCGTCAAAGAAATAGATGCCTGAAAAATGGACATCTTTCCACGCCTAACAGAACATCGCCATCCGTAAAACAACCGTCATAAATACCAGGAAATAATTACCACGTTTGGAACTATAAATCATGGGAACAGCATGAGCTTGTGAAAAGAAAAGAGGTAACAGGTAACTTGATTATTATGAGCAATCATTAAATCATCCAGGGTTCGGGCGCTTGGTCGCTTTCGTAATTTAATACCCTATTAAAGTCCCTTCTGGGATGGCATCAAGAGATGCATCAAAATAATGCCAGTTGAAAAAACAGGGTCGGACAGAAAAGAAATATCACTATTGAAAACTCCAATATATTGATTTTGAAAGGAACGAATTGATTACCTGTTTTCTTGAATTCTTTTACTTTCTCATAAGCAGTACGGTTTTCGCAGGAAGAAATCCACGCAAGACGCTATCTTGTCACAATATCAGACTATATTAGATGCCTTTGATAACGGGAGACGCTGCGTTGAAATCTATTTTGATCTGAGTCGTGCTCTTGATACTCTTGATGTAAGCATATTACTCAAAAAACTTATTTTGATGGATTTTATGGAATCAGAGGCACTCCTCTGGATTGGTTGAGATCGTATCTCACTGGAAGGTCTCAGATTGTACGAATCTTAGAGAAAGGTAGCAAAGTTTTGTCAGACCAAGTTTTTCTGGAGACCGGTGTACCACAGGGTACTACATTGGGGCTATCCTGTTCATTCTGTTTGTTAATGATCTCATCTGCCGGCTTGATCGGGACGGAGTGGTAGCGAGCCTCCATGCTGACGACACATCGGTTTTGATTAGTGAAGGCAATGCTGTTGAATTAGCGGAGAAGTCAAACCAAAGCGTGGTACGTATGACGAGGTACTGTAGCGAAAATGGGCTAGTACTGAATTCTAAAAAGACGTTTAATTTATTCTACTCTCCTTCAGGAAATATTCCGGATTTTAGTCCCTTCATTTGGTCACATAACCGACGTAGTGTAAGTCAATCGAACCATGGCAAGTTTCTGGGTGTGTCGTTCGATAGCCATCTAACATGGAGGGATCACATTTCAGGGGTTTGTTGCTCATTAGCCTCAAGGAATTTCGCCATGCGGCAGCTTCGCGCATTTGTTGATTACAAGGTTCTGAAAATGTATCACTTTTCTTCAATAAACAGTATTTTGGAATATGGTATACTTTGTTGGGGAAACAGCACTGATATGGGAAAGGCTTTTGTAGTGCAAAAGAGAATTATACGTACGATGCACAATAGACCAATGAATTCATCTTGTCGCCTTTCATTCAAAAACAATTTTTTTTACTTTAACGTCATTGTACATCTATCACTGTGCATGGCACATCAAAAAAATATAAATTCGTTTCCTCGATGTGAAGATATAAATCTGTACGCAACGCGATCTGGTCGTGACATATACAAAAATGACTCAGGTGCAGAGGGGGCCCCATATTAATTCTATAAAAATTTACAATCACTTGCCCACAAAAATAAAAAATATAGAATGTGCCAGACCTTTCAAAGCTGCTGTCAAACGAATGCTTCTCGCGAATGCATTTTATTCAGTTCGGGAATATCTTGTTACATCACTTCAAGATATTTAAGTGTTTGTGTTTGTTGAAATTATGTTCATTTATAGTATTCAATTGTGAAACTTTGTTTTATGATTTTGTTTTATCATGTAGTATTGTATAGACAATTCATTGACATATTTTCCCATACAATTGTACTACATTGTCAGTGGAAATAAAACTTTTTAATTTTTTTATTTTTATTTTATTAGGCTAAACACCTCTTCTTCAACATATAACAAATTGTTGATCTCAAAGACAATTTTGCTTGTTTGTATATTTATATATTTTTTTTCATAAACTGAACTACGAAAAATTTATTTATTTATTTGGAAATACAACACCATTCGTGAATCTCGAAACTAGTTATCTTTTTGCCTGCATGGGTGTGATCTGGAGCGATTAGGCATAAGACCATTCTTACACATTACAGACGAAGCTCTGGGGTGTAAGAATGAAATGTCTACAAAGCCTCTACGTACTCTCACTAATAATGTCAGGAGGACGAGTCTAAAATGCTGGGGAGAGTTTATTCGTCTTTTCTTCGATAGAGGGAGCCCACGTGATTAGTTCACGAACTAATGTTCTCCTCATTCGGATATAGGACCTGAGGGCGTTCTGAAAGTCATCGATTCTTGATTGAATGATTGATTGAACACCACTGATGATTCCTAATAAGGATCAAACAATTGTATCATAATATCATTCAACAATTTCTATATATTTACAAAAAAATTTATGTTTTCAACGAATAACAAATTCCAAAATTGAAAATTAAATTTCTTTTCTTGTCAACATTTTGCAACGAATTATAGCTTTCACAAAACTTCAACACAGATAGTTATCCAGAAAAACTATTTGTTTCAAAGTTTTGACAGAGCTATATATATATATATATATATATATATATATATATATATATATATATATATATATATATATATATATATATATATATATATATATATATATATATATATATATATATATATATATATATATATATATATATATATATATATATATATATATATATATATATATATATATATATATATATATATATATATATATATATATATATATATATATATATATATATATATATATATATATATATATATAGATGGCCATATTAGTAGATAATTACCTGATAATTGAACTAACCTTTTGGCGAAAAAATCCAAAAATTCAATTTTTCCGATTTTTGACCTCGAATAAAATTTTTCACACACCCGGGATCAATGGGGACTTTTCAAGATTTCATAAGAGTGGTATTCCTTAAGTGCCTGTAAATTTTCAGTTTGTTGTGAATCAATGCAATTGTCAATGTCCATCTTGACCAGGCTATTAATTTAAATTTTTTCGAATTATTATTTCATTTTTGCGTAAGAAAGTTGACAATGATCATACACAAAATCCTATAAGAAAAAGTACTGAACTTCCGAGTCGGGACTCTTGATTTTATTACGTTTCAAAACAACCGAAGCTTAATTCGATACTTGAGTAAGATGTATGTAATATACATGTATATATAAAAACTCCTTGAAGGTGAAGTATAAAACAAACATGAAAACTGAAAACGCATTTCACTTAATTTCCTGTTTCATTTTCATAAACGAAGGAATTAAGTAACCCTTTCCAGGCTCGGGAGACACAATTTTGTCACATAATTATTCGTAGACTAAATTTACGTTCATTTAAGCCAGGAAATTCGTTAGCTCGTCACCAAAGTTTAAGTTTAGGCCTTCCGTTTGCGATCACACAATCGCACTCTTTGTGCAGGCAAAAAGAACGGATCTTCAGTTGAATGCAGAACGAAACCAAGCGTGGAGAACTCCGCATTTTATGTCTGGCTGAATCATATTTCTGGCGGCAACCGACACGTCTTGCCCACACTGTATTTCTTGTTTATAATACCTGGTAATTATGGTAGATTGCGGACCCAGTCGTTTTGTGCGTTTCTTGACGGATCCCTTGTGAAGTTCTCCGACACTACAAGGTGGTTTCCAGTCAAGCGTACGGAGTTTTAGTTCGAGTTCTTCTCATTTGTAGATTTGCTCCACGTTAAGGAACGATTTCGTGTACCCAATACTTGAATGAAAAAAAATGTTTGACACAGAAAATGCGAATTAATTTCCTCAATTATTAATTTTTCAAATAGTATCAGATGAAAAATTATGAAAAACTTCGAATGACTTTAAAAAAAAGGGGGAAATACTATAGAAAAATCTCATTTAATTGCACGTGGAAGAATTTTGAAGCATGCATTTATAATTACCAATAGAAAAATATTTGACAATAATAGTGACTCCTGATGAAAATGATAGCTTCTATAGATATGTAGAATAACAGAAAGTTGGTTCATTTTCTAATTATTTATATCATTTGAATGTTTCAGAAGATATGAATTCGAATTATCAAGATTAGTCTAGTGTAGGCACCTATATAATAAATAGCTATCATTGATGTAAATTTGTTTCGAAGCAACCTTCAACAAGCACATACCACATTTCTCTTAAAAAGGTTCCAAGCATAAAAATAAAATTAAACAAATGAATAAATAGTTCATTGATTCATTCTTTATGGAAATATTATATAATAAAAATCATATAGGTATATCCGTCTGACTATGCTTTCATATTTCTTCGACAAGAGTTTCCGTGGTGTGCCTAGTGGTTTATTATCACATCGGCCTAACACGCGGAAGGTCCCCGGTTCGATCGTGGGCGGAAACACAACTTTTTCGGATAGAAGAAATTACGAAAAAGTGATATCATGAAAATAACTATTACGTTGCATACCTTTTATTTTTATGGTTAATGGACTAAATGAAACACATCACTATTTTAAGTCAAGCATACCCACTTACCTAGTAATAATTTTCATGTATTTTTCATATTAATATAGGTATCTATGGAAAATATTTCCTGTGGACGAAAAAGAATTCAAATGCTTGCTAAATTACTAAAAGTGATGAGATGTACACTGCAAGAGTTATTTCACACGCCTCACTTGAGTTGAGACGTCTACCGCAGTTGTACTCAAAAACTGTCGGGACAAGTCACAGTTGAACGACCTGGAGAAAAACGGCTGAATGGATTGGAAGAATGTAAAAGGCACCTACATAAGTACACAATGAAGCTGAAACTGGGGCTTGTCACTGAAGATCATCATATTTCAGTTTCTATTGACTACAATAATCTGAAATGTTCAATTCAACAATTTCATATCATTTGCCAGTTATCTGACATTTAACAGATCTTCTGTTATAAAGAGCTATTGCAATTGTTCAATATAGCAGCTTCAAGTTTTTGACATTTTTGTATAGTATTCTTTCCTACTCCCAAAAAAAGTTGTTCAGAATATTATATATATATTTGAAATCCTTAGTGAAAATTTACTGTTGCCATACTCTCTCTTTTCAATTTGAATGGTTGGTATAAAAATTGACGATAGAAATTCCAATTATCTCGAAATTCATATACTCTGCACGTTGGCGCGCTCAATCTATTTCATATGTCATTTTTAATTGAACAATCGTTTTTATTTGCTGCATATGCCGGACGTCTACGTTTATAGACGTTTCCAATAATTCTAAACAAAGAAAACGCTGCAGACCATTGGTGCTGTTGATGAAATATTTATGTACTTACGCTATATGCAATTTTTAGTTTAAAAATCTTCCATATCGGTGCAATATCAAATAGGAAATAGAGTATTACGCTTTCAACCTGGCGTATAGGGTTTTGTGATTGACTATTTAAGGTTTGAATAATTGATAGACTCCGTCGTTACTACGTGAGGATTTATCGTGATAAAAACGAACGATCTGATTTTACTCCTTTATCGTGCCAATAGGAAATAATTTTACCTGGGATTGCAATTTCTCTTATTACTATTATTTCTCTTTACCTTCTGGCATTTTTAGTTGAAAAAAAACCTGATGATACTTTTATGAATACTTTATACTCAAAACTATATTTTTCTTATTTGACACAAAATACATTAATATGTTTTTTTCATACAAAACAACGCTTTCTGATAGACAATACAGAAATTTCGGATTTCTGATCAACAAATTGAAATTTTTGAAAAATATTGAAGTCAACGTTGTACGATCAGATATCACCGTTGTTACAAGGGCGGTTTGATAAGTCCGTGACTTTTTAATGAAATTTTTTTTTTGCGGCAAATAAACATTTTATTTTTATACTTATTCACATTTGAGCTCGATACATTTAGTCCAGCGTTTTTCTAATTTTTTTATACCCTCCAAATAATAGGTTTTCTCAAGGCTATCAAAATACGCGTTTGTTTCAGTAATGACTTCTTCTTTAGACTCAAATCTCTTACCACCCAGCCATTTCTTTAGGTTTGGAAACAGATAACAGTCGCAGGGGGCTAAATCTGGAGAATATGCTGGATGGGGTAGCAGTTTGTATCTCAATTCGCGGATTTTGGCCATCGTGACTAAACAAGTGTGCACACGTGCATTGTCTTGATGAAACAGCACTTTCTTGTTCGCCAAATACGTCCGTTTTTGCTTCAAGTCAACGTCGAATCTATCCAAAAGCTTCGAATAATATTCGCCGGTGATTGTTTTACCTTTCTCGAGGTAATCAATGTGAATAACACCGCGTGCATCCCAAAAAACTGTGGCCATGACCTTGTTGGCTGACAGACTCTGTTTGGCCTTTTTTGGTCCACGTTCATCCCGAGCAACCCACTGTTTCGATTGTTCCTTGGTCTCTGGCATGTTGTGATGGGTCCATGTTTCGTCCACAGTAACAAAACGGCGAGAAATTCGTTCGGATTACGGCTGAATCGAGCAATCGCGGCACCCATTTCGCGGAGAATTTTCTTATGTCCAAATATTCGTGTAAAATATGATGCACTCGTTCAGTTCAGATACCTACAGCATGAGTCAACTCACGTAATTTCATTCTCCGATCATCCAATGTCATTTCATGGATTTTATCGACGATTTCCGGCGTGATCACTTCTTTTGGGCGACCTGAACGTTCGGCGTCACTAGTGCAGGTACAACCACAACGGAGCTCTGTAAACCACTTCTGTACCATTGAAATTGATGGTGCCGAGTCCCCGTAGTATTTATCAAACTTTTCCTTAGTTTCAGTGATGGTTTTTTTACGTAAAATAGAAATGCTTAATCAGCACACAAAATTCACTTTTTTCCATTTTCGTAAAAATTCACGGGGTTGTCTGCTTTGAATGGCTATCAAACACCAACTGCATGACGTAGCTTGCTCAAAATTTGACAGTTGTCCACTAATAGATTACAGTTGACGGCAGCACTGTTGCATTTGGAATAACTGCGCGGGAAATTCAAAAAGTCACTGATTTATCAAACCGCCCTCGTATTATTAGTGAGTTTACGCTTCACTGTTGGAGACATGAGTTTTCAGCGTCACATAAGAAATTATAGGCATTCTCTGCATTGCATTTATTTCAAATTTCTGAATTTCAAATTTGAAATAGTGGGGCAGAATACTTTGATCATTCGAGTGTAGGCAATAATGTATGAATTTTTTGTATAATATGTTTATTTATAAAATCAGTGGAAGATTAATCAACTCTGTGATAGTTCATATTTGAATGGGAGGTAATAAGAAATACTTGTCTAAAAATCACTAACTGAACAATTCTTTATTCGACTAGTTTCGCCTTTTACGGCATTATCAAGAATGAATACCTACATATTACGAAGACAACCTTTAAATATTTGTTCCTTACAGAACAACTTACTTGAAACAAGACCTTAGGGAAGAACTTAATGTGATTCGTACGATAGGTATGAACAATGAGTTTCCACTGAAAATAATCAATAGTCTAATTATAAAAAAAGAGAAAGGCTTCATCAATATACATTTATATAGGCCACACTACATGACTAATAATAATGATAAAAATTAATTAAGGTATGTGAGCATCCCTTATAGATACGTCCCCTCTTCGAAAATCACTTAATTCTTCGAAAATAATAATTTGAACATAGCTTTATCAAGTCACAGCAGATTGGATAGAATGATTTTTAATACCAAATTGTCCAAACCCGACCCAATGAAGAAGTCTGCAATTTATAGATTGGACTGTGAAGAATGCAAGTCATCATATGTAGGCCAGACCGAAAGATATTTTGAAACTAGGATAAAATACACTTAAAAACGGACAATCTACTTTTCGGGAACATCTATAGTCAACAGGACATAAGATCTCCCCCTGTTTTAAACCAAATATTCTCCATTGCTGTGAAAAAGGTATGAAAATTAACCACCTGGAAGTCATGGAAATGAATAAACTCCAAAAATCAGATAATTACAATCTTCTCAATACCCAGTTAGACCTAAACCACTCCCCACTGTTAAAACTCTGATATTTTGGAAATCCCCACCTCTATGTTCACTCTATGTACTATGACTAACGAACATAGGACGGAGTTGATATTGATGTTCCATATTCTACCACCTCCAGGGATCGAACCACAGAACATACCAAATTTAGGGTGTATGTTTAGACAAGTATTTCTTATTAACTCTCATTCAAATATGTTTATTTTTTTACCACGAATATCCCTCACCATGTGAAATTGTCTCAAATATTCAATATTTCTGAGGTAATTTTTTTTTATTTTCTTTTCAAATATAGTTCTACTTTGTTGCGAATATAAACTGAACCAATATTTTTGTTTAAACCAATATTATTATTTAATAGTGTTGGCGTTTACTTGATTTAAATCCATTATAATTGAATATAAACTTAAAATCGTTTATAACGACGAAACGCGTCATGCTATGTAGTCAATAAAGTGTAAATCATAAGTTCAAGTGTTTGAATTTAAGTTTATATTCAAACCAATATTATTGTTCGAGGGCTGAATAGAAGATCAGACTCAAAACTGAATTCAGTCTTTTGTGAGCATTCTTTTTAGTTGTAATATTATTGTATCAATTGAATGAATGTAATTTTACAATATGAAGAATGTTTCTCAATAAATTTTATTAATATTATATATTAAATTAAAATAAACAATTGAAATTTTGAAACGTACACTAAAATGAAGATGAACATATATATTTAAATTGATTTATTGCCTGTTCAAGATAGTTTTCAATTTTCAATGTTTATTTTTAAAACTAATTAGTTTTGACAAAGGTGTGATATACAACGAAAATGAAGTCTTTCACATTAAAATAAGCCTGTTATTGCTAAAAACATGAAAAATAAACTATGAAAAATAAACTATATGGATATATATATATATATATATATATATATATATATATATATATATATATATATATATATATATATATATATATATATATATATATATATATATATATATATATATATATATATATATATATTCATTATTCGTTAAGTTTTCTTGTGCTTTGCTTAATAACATATGTGTGAAGGTTTCTTGGGAATGAGCACAGTTTACAATTGATGGAATAATTGTTTATTCTATATATGTTTCGGCTCTAGGCCTTTTTCAAGAATATTACAGGTTCATTGTTAGTTGGAAATTGACTTCAATTTCACAAAACTTTCGTAAAACTCTTTTTAATTTTTTTAATTTGTTTTGATTGAATTATTTTGAATTCTCTCTCTATTTTATTGTCTTGATCAGTTAAGTATTTCTTGATTAGATCGTCATTATTTAATGCAAGAATTTTTGAAGTATTAAAATTTATATCTTTTTCTGATTTAT